TTCCTGGAGACAGTATGGCTAACGAAGCAGCCTCAGTTATTACAAGAGTGCTGGTTTTGGTATAATCTGCGCTATATCAAAAAGGCAATTGCACCCTGTTTAAGATATTCATTACGAACAAACTGCGCAGACGATTTTCCCGTGTCAAGGTGACATGAGATCCTGTGGCCTTCATAGAGCAAACGGGCACTGCCTTGCTCGGGTTACAAGAGTAGGGAAAGCTCACAAACAGTCTGCAGGTGCACCGTACGCATGGATTGCATGGAGAAACCGGAATTCTCGGTTGACTTGGCTTCCTTGGTCATTACAATCTTGGAATAAAATGACAGGACTGCTCCTACTTCTCTGAACACATATCTGGAGAACAGAGTTCGGATATGGAGGGCCCTCCTTCTATACTCTATTTCCATCACGGGAACCGTCTTGGTTTGGGTTTTTACTAGCCCTCCTATTCAACTACCATCAAGAAAACCTACGGTGGACTCTGTGGAGCAACCCTGTGCATCCCCGGCTCCTACACGGAAGTTACAAGTCAGGATGCAATCTACCGTTGGAGTACTGCTCTGGAGGTGTAGCAGGCGCAGATCGGGCTGCCTACGGTCATTTCTAGTGCCTCACATTCGGCTAGTAGGCAGCAAGCATACTAACGCACTTAACATAAAGAGTTTGTATACATATTCCCTCTAGTTGAAACTGTGCAGGGTAGTACAAATTGATGAGCATCTGACCTAGCAGCAAGGGCATGATGATATGTTCTTAATTGTTACCATAAGTTTTTCATGTTTCAATACTGCCTATTTACCTGCCTAATTACTGCATTGTATGTTACTAGGCCTAAGCAACCACACAAACCAACCAACACAAAACACTTGCACAAACCAGCTAACACAAAGCACATGCACAAACCAGCCGGCACAGAGCAATTACACCGACTAGCTAAGACAACAACTGCATAAACCAGCTAACACAAGCTAACTACCCAAACAGCTGACACAAAGCAACTACACAACTGACTCACACAAACCAGTTAACACAAAGCACCTGCACAAACCTGCTAACTCAAAACACTTGCACAAACCAGCTAACACAATGCACTTACACAAACCAGCTAAGACAGGCTACATGTTAGCCATTGCAACCAACTAACTGGCAAACCAAATGCAAATGAGACACGTGACACAACCTATATTGAAATTGTCCTTAGGACGTTACAAGTGGCTCCTGCGAGCACATACGATATTGGCGCCCTACAGCATCCAGAGGCTATCTGGTACGCTGCTGTAATTTGTTATATATCTTCTGACCTATATTAAGCTTACAATAGAAAGGCAAAGCTCACTTAATTACACACAAGGTTAAATATACTGAAAGCTTCACCGCATGCTTAGTTAAATGCAACTCAACCACGTAGTAAAATATGAGGCCTCATATTTATATAAAAATATATGAAAAGTGTGATACATTACAGTGCTATAACATGCTGTGATAAACTAGTACACATATCTATCCATGTTTTTCCAAAACGAATGCATTGTTTACGCTTTATCCCCTGCGTGGGAAAACGACTTATTGTGTTGACCTCAATAAAAACAGATTTAATACAAAATGGGGTATTTCCAGTCTTTTGTAGTAGCCATTTAGAAACGCTAACTTTGACCAGCGTTGTGACTATAATTTTCTTTTTTTGCATATTTTTTTTTTTTTTTTTTTTAAACAAAACTTGCACTTTTAATGGTAATATCATCGTCGTGATAAGTTTTACTTTTTAAAACACTCATATTTGTGTTCAGGGAAGTCTCATGAGTATAACAATACCCCTCCATGTACAGGTTTTATGGTGTTTTGGAAAGTTACAGAGATACATATAGGGCTTGCCAATTAAATTCTTTGGACTGCCTGCCTGGGTTGTCAGGCAGGTCTCTCAAATTATAATTAATAAAATCAAATAATTATGTAAAATTAATAGTTGTGTGTGTGTGTGTGTGTGTGTATATATATATATATAATGTGTGTATGTATGTGTATGTATGTTTTGTGTTTTTTATTATATATATATATATATATATATATATATATGTGTATGTTAAAGGCCGATGGCCTGTTTTTGTGGGAGGAGTTAGCGTTCCTATATAAACGCTACTCCCCCCTTCCTACCTTGCCGTATACGCACGCTGTTCACCTGGCCTGCTAGCTTCCCTCTCGTCAGCACAACTTCCGGGTCCTCGACAGTGCACTTCCGGTCCTGGCATTCCTTGCTGCTTTCCCGCCAGCCGTCATTCGCACAGACGCTCGCAACTACAAACTAACGAACACCAAGTAATCGGCAAGAATAGCCGCGTTCGGGCTTTTCCCGCCGTTCAACATTTTAACTCCATGTACATACGAACAACACATGTATGAGACCTGCAAACAGGTTTTAATTCAGCAGACTATTTCATTGCATCTTCAAGCGAATGAGTTTTTACTTTCTTTTTTCCGCAGAAGTTAAAACATTATCATCGTTAATAAACACTGTAGGTCTAAGGTGTCTGCATCAGCTTGGTATAAAGCCTTCAGAAGCTGTCTAATTCTTGCTATGTTACGTTTTATTGTGGGAAAAACCCACATAGATTGTGAGCTTGTTTTAGCATGCCCTTTGAATATCCCCCTTTTTTTTTTTTTGCATCAATTCTGTAGATTATGTTGGCTCTATAATATTTTAGGCTAGCTTGACCATTTACTAGCGTTCCCTTACCTGTTCGCAAGTGTACTTTTATTGAACTACTGTAGGCATTGCGGCAGCCCACTCAGGACCTGCAATATGTCCCTATCCTCTGTTCTTCTGTCTAACTGTCTGACGAGGTTTAGGGCATTGGCATTCATTTTCTTAAACTTGACAGTTGCAAAGAGAGCTAATATTAAAGAGGAGTCTCATTTCCATTATTGCAATGAAAGGGACGGATGGTCGGCTAAGTTTATTGCTCTTACCGAACAGTGAATTTCTTATATTTAAAGAGCTCTATCGACAATGCATTCTTGGCTAGTAATCACAAAAGAAACACCAAGAAAAAACAAAGTTCCTTTTATAGATGCAAGCTACAAAATGTGCATTTTAAAAATGTAATGCTTTAAACATCGTGTTGTTGACCCTAATGTAAACAATGTATTAAAAATTACCATTTTTCCTGTATCACAGCTTATGAACTCATTTTATTATACATTGTTCACATTGTTTTATTCCCGTTTGGATTCATTGAAGTTTTTCTATTTTCGCAATCATAAAAGATAGAAGCACACAGTGCTGGCTAGTTTTGAAGTAATTTGTATCTGGGAAGCCCATACGGCTACTCTCACATTTCAGTTCCAAAGAATCCAAGCATGTCATTCGGCTAAATCGGCATTTACAAGTTACACGCACTGACACTGCCATCTATTGTCAAAAAATGGCTTAACAACAAAAGGCCTAACTGTTAAACAATTGTTATTATAGGCGGATTACACTGGTGCAAGCAGGAGATGTACTTATGGCATGATACGTTAATTAACTATAACAATCTATTAATTAAGTTTTAAAATTAATTTAGCGTTGGCTCTAGTCACAGAGTGTCAAGTAGTCCTAATGTGAGTCAATACATATGGTCAATCATTCAGAATTTTCTTATGTATACAAATTACAAATTACAGGTCAAAACCATGTCACATACCAACCTGTCCCGTTGTTTTCTTTCATACATGGTACATCGGTCTTCAGTACCTGTTCAAGTAGGTACGCTAGCATCTACCGAATACACGATCTGTACCTAATTAATATGAATTCACGTCGCTATTTACTGCTGCTTTTCTTGACTTGCCTCGGCAGGCCACGGCTTCACTCGACTACTCGTCATTCGTTATCATCAACTTTCTATCTCGCAATAAACGTCCTGAACTTATTTCAGTCCTTCACCATTTTTCCTCCATGAATACTATCACGCTTTAAGCACAATACTTTCAAGGAACGCCATATAGGGGCTCTACTAACAAACGTACACTCGTTACACCTGCTATACCTAGTTTCTGTCCAGTATTCATCCAATGTATTGTACCATGCATTATTGTTCCATCCGGCTAGGTTAAATTAATCTTTAACAACATTTTATTATTCTGGTAAAGGATATTTCCCTGCTAAACAGCACCTTAATTTCAGGTTCGAACGGCATTCTACCAGTAGACAGTTACTGGTTCTTTTTTGTCTCCTGTCTCTAACAGGTACAAACACATTTCATTCACATTCGATAAACTGCCTCAATAAGGCCACGCATTTACACAGTGGGGTATTAGGGTACGGGGGCTTGATTTCCGCCTTGCCTCGACAGGCCACGGCTCTACTCGATAACACGTCATACGTTTATTCAAACTCACTATCTGTAAACAATCATCCTGGGTCTAACAAACCTTGCACATTTCACCTTCCACTTTCCGTCACATACAATCATGCTTTCACGGCACAACACCTTCCTAAATCTCCTCGCTGGGATAAATATTAGCTACCAGGGGAATCTTCAGCACTCTCAGGACCTAAATCTACAATACTATCAGCTTTGTATCTAAGAACTACACGGTGCTAAACTTAATTTCTCTCTCTCCTCTCCCTCCACCACAGCTCCTGTCCTCTTCTGTCTTATTCCTTTCTCTCCCTTCCTTTTCTCTTTTTCTGACAAAGGGGTTGCAAGGCTCCTTTCACAATCTTGACTTGATACGCTAATACGTTACATTAACCCCTCATCAAGCCCATGTCTAGGGTCAGAGAACTGGCTATCTAGGGTTAGGAGCTGGCCTTAGGTGAACAACGTAGCTGGTCCCGCAAGGCCAACACCACAATCTCAACATGGATATTTTCGGCCCAAATCTTAGTTAGAGCCTCACATTCACTCACCTATCGGGTTTATAGTTAGGGCCTCACCTGACACGGCCACACGCTTTGGATCTTTTACTGTCACCGAGAGGCCGACACCCCGCCACCACGCTAGTGGCTCAAACCCCACGGCCAAATCATAGGTAGAGCCTCTCACCAGCCGCTTGGCAACTAGCATGGCCTCACATGTCACGGGGTAGAGAGTTATTCGCTTCTGCACTAGTTTAGCCAGCCAGGTCTACATTTCTCAACCGTATTGTTATTAATCAGTTAATTGTCGTTGTGATATTCTTTTTCAGTATGTCCCAAGAAGGCAACATCGGATAAGAACCATCCCCCCCTAGCGTCACCACTGAGCCGGACACTGAGAATTCTGCGTTGGGGACCAGCACAAGGGAAATTACTGACATTATAGGAGACCTCATCTGGCTATGCTTCAGTCCTTCAATAATAGACTGTCTAACTTAGAGGACAGCAGTCTAGCTCAGACAGGCCCTCCTCTCGTAGGGTCCATACACACTTACTCACGCAAATGCGCAGGGTTGGCTCCCCGCATCACCTTTCACCCCCCTCACGTTCTGAGTACTCATCCGTTAATTTGTGTTGATTTCAACACAGGCACATGTAGCTTTACCAACTACAAATTGCTTCACGTATGCACCAACTCCCAATCTTCTGTACAGATGAAACCACTATAATGGGTTGGAGCATTTACATAACTATTAGGGATTACTGACCAAGAGACACTCTGTCTCGTACCTCACCCAACTGACAAACACTCGAGCATAATCCGCATTTCAACGTCCTCATTCAGTCGCCCGGCTATCGAGACTCGACAACAAGTTGTCACCTGGCGTTATTCGCTTTCACTAAGAATACATACGACAGAGACGGGATATTCTTCCAGGAATTTGTGGAATACGACATCCACAAGCATACCATTCAACTGTAGTCTATTATGCTACTTTTTGCCACCTTTCATTCAAACCTTCATACAACACTATCACACTATACCAATCAGACATACAACACCACGTTCTGACCAGCCTTTCAAACCATACCCCGTCCTCTTAAATACTTACCACAAGGATATCAAGGTATATGTAATTGGTTCATCACTGCACAATAACATACACACATGGGTGGGAACTCTGGGCAGTATCAAACTCCCTTGGCAGAATCCATACCACACAAACCGGTCTTAAACCTCTGCACCTTTAATCTACTAAGGGTTACGGAGCCATGCAACTTCATGATCACAGCTAATCAGACTGGCAAAGCATGCCTCCTCAAAGGAATTCAAGAAGGTACAGACACTACCGCATGTTACGCTAACCTTCAAACCAGACAATGAAGACACTTGCTCTACTAAGTAATCCCCTAACTACTTCAAATTGCAGTCCTACATTCGTACTCCCTGCATTAGATTAGGTTGGGACCCTAAATCCTATTTAGGACATAGATTCAATTTAAAGTGGCACTGTCATTTTTTTTGTTTTTTTAACCCCCCTCCCCCCTCAGACCTCCACTCTCTCTAACTGACACCCTAGTCACCCCCAAATGCCCCTAAGCCCCTTACATTACCTATTTTGTTTTCCTTATTTTCTGCCCTGATCTATATTCAGGGCGCAGCCATCTTTGTGTGGGTAGATGAAGTCCCTGTGGTACACGTCATCAGCCCACACTAGATAGCACTGAGATTCCCGCACATGCCCAGTGAAACACCTGGACATGCGAACGGGAATTTCATCTCTTCATTCATTCATCAGACAAATGAATGAATAGAAATATCAGCCGAACAAACTAACACTGAGTATCTGTGTATCAGTGTTCGTTTGTTTGTTCAGTTTATTACAAGGAGGGAGCTACTGGCGCGCAGCTCCCTCCTTGTAATATGTAAAGATAGAAGCGGCAGGGAGCAGTGCTCCCCACCACTTCATAAGCCCCCCAGGTCCCCCCTCACTCTATGGGGGTCAATATGACCCCCATAATAGCACAAGGGAGATTAAAATCTCCCCAATGCCCCTACTCGCTATACCACGAGTAGGGGCATGTCTACTAAACAGTGAGCAGTCTGTGGCTGCTTACAGTAAAAAAAATAAAAAAAACTTATTGGCCCCCACCCCTAAAGGACAGGTGGGGGCCCTAAAGTAAAATAAGGGGGGGAGACCTATTGTGCCCCCAACCCTGCGCGGCAGGTGGGGGCCATAATGATAATGAGGGGGGGGGGGACCTACTGCCCGGCCCCCACCCCTGGGTGGCAGGTGGGGGCCATAAAGATAATGGCGGGGGGGGACACCTACTGTCCTCCACCCCTGGGCGGCGGGTGGGGGCCCTAAGTCATTTCCCTCCCCCCCCACGCCGCTTTAAGTACCACAGTCAGTAGTGGTACACCGGTACACATAATAAATTACCGTATATACTTGAGTATAAGCCGACCCGAATATAAGCCGAGGCCCCTAATTTTACCCCAAAAAACTGGGAAAACTTATTGACTCGAGTATAAGACTAGGGTGGGAAATGCAGCAGCTACTGGTAAATTTCTAAATAAAATTAGATCCTAAAAAAATTATATTAATTGAATATTTATTTACAGTGTGTGTATATGATGAATGCAGTGTGTGTGTATGAGTGCGCAGTGTGTGTATAAATGCAGTGTGTATATGAGTGCGCAGTGTGTGTATGAGTGCAGTGTATGAATGCAGTGTGTGTGTATGAATGCAGTGTATGTGTGTATGAATGCAGTGTGTGTGTATGAATGCAGTGTGTGTGTATGAATGCAGTGTGTGTGTATGAATGCAGTGTATGTGTGTATGAATGCAGTGTATGTGTGTATGAGTGCAGTGTATGTGTGTATGAATGCAGTGTGTGTGTATGAGTGCAGTGTGTGTGTATGAATGCAGTGTATGTGTGTATGAATGCAGTGTATGTGTGTATAAATGCAGTGTGTGTGTGTATGAATGCAGTGTGTGTGTATGAGTGCAGTGTGTGATGCAGTGTGTGTGTGTTTGTGTTGCAGAGCCTTGGTTGGGGGGTGGGCATTTTTATAAAAAAAAAATTATTATTATTTTAAAAAAATTTTGTTATATTATTATTTTTTTAATAATTTTTTTATTATTATTTTTATTTTTTTTATTATTTATGTATTATTTTATTTAGTTTTTAGTTCATTTTTTAGTTATATTATTTTGTTTATTATTATTTTTATTATTATTTTTTCTTATTTATTATTTATTTATTTATTTTGTTGTCCCCCCTCCCTGCTTGATACATGGCAGGGAGGGGGGCTCTCCTTCCCTGGTGGTCCAGTGGCATTGGCAGTTCAGTGGGGGGAGGAGGGGGGCTGGCAGAGCTGTTACTTACCTCTCCTGCAGCTCCTGTCAGCTCTCTCCTCCTCCGCGCCGGTCCGTGCAGCTCTTCTCTCAGCTCACACTGTAAGTCTCGCGAGAGCCGCACTATGACCCCGCGGCTCTCGCGAGACTTACACTGGGAGCTGACCGAGGTGCTGCACGGACCGGCGCGGAGGAGGAGAGAGCTGACAGGAGCTGCAGGAGAGGTAAGTAACAGCTCTGCCAGCCCCCAGTCTGTATTATGGCAATGTAAATTGCCATAATACAGACTGACTCGAGTATAAGCCGAGTTGGGGTTTTTCAGCACAAAAAGTGTGCTGAAAAACTCGGCTTATACTCGAGTATATACGGTAGATTCACTGGAAATCAGCTATGTTTTATTGAAACATTCCACAACGGATAAAGAGGTAAGGCTAAAGAATCTTACGTGATATTTATATTGCAAAAAGTGTGTTTTTCTTGCATTTCCTTTTGCCCCCTTTTACAGCCTACCCTTATGTTGTTTCCGGCACACCACACCGACTTAATTCCAATCACAAGGTATTTCACAATACGATATTAACTGACCACAAGTTTAAGGCCGAAGGCCTGTATTTGTGGGAGGACTTAGCGTTCCTATATAAACGCTACTCCCTCCTTCCTACCTTGCCGTATACGCACGCTGTTCACCCCACCCACCTCACCCTCTTAGACAATCCATTCGGGAGGGCCCCCTTTTACAGGCCTATCCCTACGTTGGTTCCGGCACACCACACCGACTTCATTCCAATCACAAGGTATTTCACAATACAATTAACCGACCACAAATATATGTTTGTGTGTGTGTATAGACACACACACATATACATATAATACGTGTGTGTGTATATTTATTTTCTATAATATCTCAAAGTACACGTAGAATTCAATCATATGTATGCATTATATATGTATAATATATAAAAAAAAAGCTTTCATTTTTTTAAAATATATTATACACATATATATTTATTTGATTGTTTTTTTTTTTTTGTTTTTTTTTTTATACTTTTTAGGTGTCGGGGGACTACCTGACAGCTCAGACAGTCCCCCACAGACAGATCCATAGACTTCTATTACGGCCATGTGATCATTGAGATCACATGGCAGTGGAGGCCCAGGGTTGCTGTAGCTGCTACATGGGGACTGCTGGGGTCTTGGGCAGTCCCCCTGGGATGCCCGTCCAGATGAGTACAGGGGTCCAGAATGGTGGAAGTACGGCTGGGCGTACTATGCCGCCCTCCCGCGTTTAGAGGCAGCCTTTCTAGGACGGCATAGTACGCACGCCATTCTTAAGGGGTTCGTTCAGGCTTCCTCGGTGGACTGACACGTACTGCTGTCCTTCAGTATTATTAAAATCTGGAAAAGGTATTTTGACTCCTTTGTGTTTTGATTACCCCCAAAGAGGCAAACATGTGGGAATCAGTCCCTACAGATTACTGCCCGATTTCTCCTTTCATTATGAAAACCATTATTCCTCTAGGTTCTGTGGACAAGCGATTCGAATGCAAATCCTTTTTTACATAAAACTGTTGGCCTAACAGAGGTATCTTCTACAAAGTACAGCTGGTAACATTTGTAGTTGACGGAGTCTCCCCTGAGGAACTTTACAGAAGGTGCAATTTCTCAAGATTGCTTTTCCCTACGTGCAAGGGCATTCTGAGATTTTCTAAGAGAGACTCTGCTTTCTAGATCCTCATATGCAGGACTTTGAGGCTTAATAACTGGTCTGTCATCCAGGGTCTTATATCAAGGCCTTTGATGCTACACTTTTTAGGTAACAATTTTTTTTGGCTCAGGTTTTGATGTCCTTATATCTAAAGTGTCTGGATTAGGTAAATATGCGTTTGTCTCAGGACAAACCAGTATTTAGGCATTTTTGTTAGTACAGTAAGAGTAAATTAATAAGTTGACAATGGGTTTATTTTATTATATAGCCACTGCACAGTGCCACGGGTCAGTGCATGGGGTGGACGCAAAGGCTGCCTAGTCG